CCACGAGTCCAGCAGGCACTTCAAAAGAGATGATCCATGCTGGAAATATATGTTATTTAGTGCAAGGGTGAGTCTCCCACCACGATGAGACACAAAACTTGATATATCCATTATTTCATTACAGCAACTGCACTGAATCCCGTCACAGGTAACCATGCCCTCAGACAACCCACTTCTCCTTCGACCTTCCCCATACTGCACTTTCCCACCCGGCATAATAACACCCAAATCTATCATCCACGAAAGAAGATTGCGCTTCACACTGTACATTGTACAGCCATCATTGCCTTGATCCAAACCCTCATTGGAGCTACGAGCTACCAAGCGTGGCTTTCTGCTCGGCCTACCCTTCTGGCTTTTTTTTGGCTGTCTTTGCCGAGATTTATCTCCTTTCACTTTTACGCCTGATGATTTACTAGCCAATTTTACAGCAGAACTATGAACTTCTTTCCTCTTTATACCATCTTTGCTCTTCTTGCCAGGTTTCTTCTTAGGTGGAGCTTCTCCACTGAAGACTATTTTAGCCTTACAATCATTCTTTCCTCTTTTGTTTTTCTTCTTATTTTTATCACTCCTTACCTTCGTAATCAACTTGAATAGTACACTCATTTCCTCATCGGGTATCGGAGTAAATGCAGAAACTTCTTTACTATCAGCATGACCATCTTCGCTTCTCTTCTTAAGAGAACGATAAGCTTTGGTGATAGACCAGTGTGTTCCCCCATTCGGATCAACATATACTGCATCCAGATATTCTCTTTGTAGCCTTGGCCTATACTCAATTGTCCACCCTGCCTTCATAAGCATACTAACTATTTGATCTCTCACCAACTGCTGTTTCTTTCGCCTCTCCGCCCCTCCAATGCTACTTTTCAACGGTTCATTAACAATGTCTTTTCCTGTATTATGACCTTTAACAGTGTCTTCAGCCATTGTGTGGTCGTTGCTTTCTTCGGAAGCATTGCCCTTTTGTTTGTCGTGAATCTTGGGACCCTCTTTAACAACTTTAACCTCCAACTGATTGTTGGTTTTCTTAACCATCATACGCTTCTGCTTTTTAGGTGGTCTACCACGACGCTTGAGATTCTTCATCACCATATCCCCGTCTTCGCTCTTCTGAATCCCTTCTAATACCAGTTCTTCATCCTGCACTTTAGGAGGTCTTCCATGGCGTTCTAATTTTACAGAAACTGTATCATCATAAACCACATATAAAGGCGTAGCTTCACCCTTTGTCTTAGGAGGTCTACCACGACGTTTTTGAAGCTCATGTTGGCTTAAACACTCAGCTTTAATCTTTCTTTTGAAAACAGCTTCACCCTGCACCTTAGGAGGTCTCCCACGACCTTTTTGCTTCTTTTGCAGTCTACCCGTCATTTGAATGCTTTCATTGACTGCTTTCTGAAGCTCAGTTTGGTCTAAACATTCAGCTTCCATCTTCCTTTTGAAACCAGCAACACTCTCATTAAGCCCACTATCAGCCACCTTGACACCACCACTCATCGTCATACTCCTTGACCGCAATACCCGACCACTGATTTCCACTCCACGCTTCTCAATTTTCTCCATTTTAGACTTCAAATTTCCATTACATTCAGAACTTACCAAAATCTTCCTCTTCCTCCCCCTTTTACGCTTTCCAGTACCTTCACAGTTTCCATCAACGGCAGTAAAAGCTTCATCAGCCTCATCAACCTTCAATTTCACCATCATATCAGCATCATAGCTAGTCTCTTCCATTGTTTGATTGCCAAGATTTTTCTTTTCCCACCCACCTTCTCCTTCCCTACCTCTACCTCCATCTGTACTCACAACAGCATTCTCACAATCATACAATGAGTTATGGAGAACCACGTTATCATCATCAACAACACTCACAGGTTCGATATCCTCAGACCAATTGTTACATTCCATGACTTCTTTATATTGTGGCATATGACCTGAAACCAATACCGATGATCTTTTATTCTCTTTCAAACCAGAATCCAACACAGATTCATTTCCTTCTTTAACACAGACAATAAGATCATCTACAGCATTATCAACACATTCCTTATTTTCCGCTTTCTTTGCCCCTTTATCAACTATTCCATCTACCAAAAGCTTCAATGGCGACCTCTTTTCATCAATGGCGTCAAGATTCTCCACATAAGAATCAGATTTCACTTCCTCCGTCGTTGAAAGTTCACTGGACCTCAATCGCATCACTACAAACCCTAAACAAAAATCAAAACCCCATTCGTTAAGATCATCTAGACAGAAATCAAACACGCAAATAACAAATAAAGTATATAGAAATCAGACTCGTGGATTGCTTGATCATCAAATAGCAAGAATGCAGTTAATAAACTAAAAACCTAAATCACAATGGCTTGAAAGTTGAAGATCACTCAAACAGAAATCAAACATTCAAATAACAGAAACTGTAGAAACATGAAATATATTACCTGATAAGTGAATCAAAGAAACGATGATGATCTTGATTTGAGAACCGGATGATGAATATGGTAAAAGAGTGAAGAGGGAATATGAAGAAGCGATTGAAGTTGAAGTGATGGTGGAGAGAGAAGGGTTTCCAATTCGAATAATTTGTGGGATGAGCAACACCTGGAAGAAAATTAGGCGGGATTTTGCAAAATTTAGAGGGTTTTATATATTTGTTCTTATGGTTTCCCTCCATAAACCCTCGTATGTCCAAAAATCAAATGCCATCGTTCTTACTTTCAAAACTTCACAAACCTTTTAATTTTAATTTCTAAACTATTAAATTTTGATTGATTATAAAGGTACTCGTGCAATGCAACATGATACATCTTTATTTTAATATTTCGTTTTATTTCGTTTTATTCTTTGTCTGTGTTGATATAATGTGGTTTATATGATTTTGAGAAAAATAATATTTTTGCTTTTGAATAAAAATAAATTTGAATACATCAAAAAATTTTGAAAAAATATATCAATATTAATATCAAATTAACTATTTAAAAGTTCTTATTTTTTTTGTATAATTTCGTTAATTTCGATTTTTTATTATAATTTAATTTAGATTAAATAGTGAATTAATTTATTTTTTTCTTAACAATAAATTTTTTTATAAAAATAATGATTATCCTAATTATATTTTAGATTTTTAATCCTATATTTTATTATGTTTATTTGCGGTTATTTATACGAATTCAAAAATTGAGCTTTAATAAGTTGTACTTACGCACAATTTACATGTAATCTTAAATTTTAAGTAATATGCATTGATACAGTACTTAATGCATAAAAAATGGTTTTTATCAAATACTTTATAATATAATATAGATTGAGTTCTTTAACATTTTTTAATAAATATACCACCACACTTTTAAAAATTGGTTATCTACATTCTTTTAACCCAAAAAACTACTTAACTTACTATTAAAGTTTGATGGTTTAATTTATTTTTTAGAAAATTCAGGGTTTTAGTTATTCAAACTATAAAAGTTTAATGGTTTTTTCATTAAAAAAAATAGTTCACTGACTTAATCATTTAAAACAAAAAAAATGTAAAGTTTTTATTCGAAATAATAATTTGGAGACTAAGCCATTCAAAATGAGAAAATTTGTTCATTTTTTGAAGTTTTCCCTTTTGAATTTGAATCAACCCCTAAAAATGATTACTTGTTGTTTTTGTTTTTTATTAAGGGGTTTCTTCATTTGTTTTTCATTAACTTCTGTATAAATAAAATGGTATGTGTGGATTAATCTATCTTTATACATTAAGAAAGTTTTCCTTTGGAGGGTTTTTTCATATATGTAAGAGGCGGGCTTTTTTAATTGGGAGATGCACAGTTGGAAAAAAAACCTGGCTTTTTGTATTAATCACCCCATACAAGCTTATTAAGTAAGTCATTTTTGTATATTAAGCCACTACCAAGTAATCATGTATAATCGACGGAATAAGTTGTGAGTAACATTAAGCTACAAACAAACAGGCCCTAAGGGTCTATTTATAAATTGTTTAATGAGTTTAACGAGACTCACAACTTATGCGATTAGGTATATACATGAGTGTTTGATAATAGCTTAATGATATAGTTAGTGGTTTAGTCGGTAAAATTATAGGCAAAATTTATGCAGAAAGTGAATTTTCCCATAAAGGTTTTAGAGTATTGTACAAAAGAGGTGGAAATAATCTTATTCGAATGCAGAATAGATATAATGTTCGATCGAACAAATGATTAAATAATACGTGTCAAAATAATAAGTTTTTAATTCGTCGTGGGTTGTTTAGTTTGTGCAATTCAAAAGAATTTGACAGAATAAAAATGACAGATTCCACAATCAAAGGATCTGTTCGTTCGTTAGCATAAACTAGAAGAGTACTCGTGCAAGAAGGATTTCTCATTCCTTAGCCGAAAAGATATGTGGCTGAGGCGGTACTTGTGATATTTCGGCTTGAGACACATTTTATTCCCATGTTCCATAGCTTTTGCTCCGCTATCACAATCATGATTTCCCACCAACATTCACCTTGAACCAGGATCGAACTCTCCATGATATTCATAGTTGCATTACTTATAGCTTCTTACAAGATCTTGTGCATTAGACCCTATAACTATACCATGAGCGTTTTAGAGCATCCTCATCAGAGATAAATTCCAAATGTCCTTAACGCCAAGAACCATCAAATCATCACTTATTCAACTGGAATCGCTAGTAATCACCAGTCAACCACTCGAATTTTAGATTTTTCTCATCATGATAAGGAGCTCTATTTATTTCCGTCCCATAAGTGAAACAATTTTGTCTTCTCCATATAATTTTTTTATGAGGAACAACTCCGTCTGAATGTTTTATGTACCGTGAACGACACACTTAGCCTCTCATCATATTGCAGAGGGGACTTTGGGCATAGTAGCAGGCGTATTCTATCAAAAAAAAAAATTGCAATTGCGACCTTATAATGCAATCACATTCTCTAAAACTCTTCTTTTCTCTTATGTTTAAAGAACATGTCGAACCAAATATATGGAACAAAAACTCCATTTTCTCTATTTCAAAGAATCTGTTGGAGATGCTCTGAGCAGGAGACAATGAACATCTTCAACTACCATAACTTGAAAACATCAAAAAACATCAACATAAAACTACCAACCAATACTCATTCTTCTAGTTTAAAATTTCTAAAACAAAAACCCTGATCCTGTTTCATCTCAAAATGGAGGTTTCCAGAGTTATAAGAACAAAAAGAAGTTGCACCAAAACAACCCACATATAAAATAAAACTAGTGTCACTTTCATAGCTCACTTCTTCTTCTTGGCAGCATCCCCTGCCTTGGTCTGCATAATCACCACAACATCCATATAAATTAATGCCAAGACTCGAGTTAGATACCTAAAGGGTGTGTTTGTTACGTAGACAAGTTAGATACCTAAAGGGTGTGTTTGTTACGTAGACAAGACTCAACAAGTACGAATGGAACTTGACTACAGACGAAAGTGAGGTTGGCAGGTAAATGAATCATGGGGGATCTTAAAGTTTTGATTTGATATGGGAATCTTTCTGATCTTTGTTCCAGCTATTTTACTGAGTAAGAGTCATTACCCTCACTTACCTTGTAATTTAACGTTTTCGGCCATCAAAACAAATTGTGGTACGCATCTTTTACCTAGTGTACCACATAAGATTCTTGAATCTTGATCCTTGTTATGCCTCTTACCAGATAAAATTTTTGGCCATTGCCATATTCAATCGGTAAGGTAAGCGACACCCGGTAAGCACTTACCTTGTAGAAGTTTGGTAAACGGCCCCTAGTTTTATTCAGTCTCGTTTAGTAAACGCTTGCCGGGTAAGAACTTACCCTTACCCATTGAACATGGCAAGGACTAAGAATCTTATCCGATAAGATGCATAGCAAGGACTGAGAGTATTACCCAATAAGTGAGGTGAAAGACTCAAAACTCAGGTTTTAAGATGCTTACCAACAATCCATTTTGATGGCCAGATAAGGAAGTGCAGGTGATGTTTAATGCCGGCAAGCGCTTACCCGATAAGCTTTTGGTAAACAGCCCCTCAGTCTAATAATCGCACCAAACATTGGACAAGTTCTGTTCCATCCTCCCTTGTCCATCCCGCCTAGAGATACACAAAAAGCCCAAAACCCAGCCAGGCCTGAAAAATCCAGGCCTAGCATGCCCAAAGTCTAAATCCCAGGCCAGGCCTAAAATCCCAACTGGCCAAGTTATTTTCCAAAAGCTCGAAAAAACCCGGCTGGAAAAAATTCACATTCAGTACAGGCTCCTGTTTTTTGCTTATTGAAACGGGCTTGGAACGCCTGGGCAGGCTTGAAAAGGCCGAGGCTTGGTGCATCTCTAAATTCCCGGTGTACCAAACACACCATAATAACACCATTCAGAATAAGAAAACACAGGTTAAGCACTTACCTTTTTTACACCACGGATCTTCTTTGATCTGTTTTTCCTTTCCTTCATCTGCTTCCTTGACTTCTCAACCTTGGTATCAAGTCCATTCTGCAAAATTTTATAATGCATAAAGACCCAAAAATAGAGCCATACGAAATTTGTAATAGACTTCACAAAACAATCCAAACTACAATGCAGAGAGAAAACACATAACAAGTTGGTCTTTAAGTGGCAATAAACCAATTTGCTAAAAAATTCTAACCACAAAAGTTGTTCGAAACCAGGATGCCCACTTAAGAATAGCTTAATAGGTTACCCCCGCTGGGCATTAACATTCCTGGATCATGAGACTCCCAATTTGGGAAAGGAAATTGAAAAAAGACAACAACCTGATAGAAAATGCTTGGGTCCCGTTTGGTTTGTAGGATTGGATAGGATTTGGAATTAAATTCCTTTCCAATGTTTGATTTGAAGGATTTCCAGGATTCGAAATCCTAAAACCATAGGATTTTGGAATCCAATGTTGGTATTTGACGGGATTTCATAGGATATGCTTGTAATAATGTATTAGAATATGTTAAAAAACACTTGTTTTGTAATAATCAATTAACAAAAATGTAATTTAATTATTTTTATAAATTATTCATGAGAATGGAACTCAATTTCAATTCAAATCTTACAAACCAAACACACAAAGATTCCAAATCTCTCCAAATCCAAATCCTTCCAAATCCAAACTCCTAAAAGATATTCCATCAAACCAAACGGACACATAATGATCAAAAGCTTGACCCCTTAACCAGCGATTTCCAACAACCCTTTACAAAGGGCATGTTTGTTTGCAGCTTATGAGACACAGCTTATTCGGACAGCTATACATGGTTGTTCAATAGTGGCTTGATGATATAGAAAGTGGCTTATTCAGTAAGCTTCTAGGGGGAAGGTTTATGCAGAAGCCATGTTTTTTTTCCAAAATCTGCCACTCCCAATTAAACAACACGTTCCTTCAATCTATGAAAAACCCTCCCAAACAAAACTTTCCCAATCTAGACATACAAACATTAATCCACACAAGCAGCTTTATCCATACAGGGCTCAATGAAAAACCAACCAAACAGCCCCTAATTTCCAAAGCAAGAAATGGTACTAGTACTACATGGAAGAAATGGAAAATGTGCCTTATGACCACACCCAACGGCCCCTAATTTTCAAAGCAAGAAACAGTACAACATGGAAGAAATGGAAAGAGAGCCTCATGACCACACCCAACAGCCCATGAGCAGTATCTCACTCTCCCATGGATTCCTATGACAATATATAAACTTGTATTTCAAAATTCAAAACTTCCTTTGTTTATGTTGCTTATTCTCCGATAGATAAACAAACTCCCAATGCTAGATTCTCTAACAAAGGATAGACATCTCGCAATGGAAAAACTAAATGCAAATATGATGTGAAACAGAGTTTAAAGTTTTACCCTGATAAGCCTGTATTTTGGCTCATACTTCTTCGCATTCTCAACGGAATCGTATATCAAACCAAACCCAGTTGATTTACCACCACCAAAATGAGTTCTGAACTTGAATACAAAGATGGAACTTGGATCTTTCACATCATAGATCCTACCTAATTTCTCCTTCAATTCAGCCTACAACAAAAAAATAGGGAAACAAAATCAAAACCATTTTAGTGGATGTAAAGCAAAACTTTGCAAAGCCGACAAAGGCGATTACAGCTTAATCTACATAAAGAAGAACATGCAACAAATAGACTAATTACAGTACTATATAACCATTCATCCACATATCATGCAAACTTCGGTATCAACATTGACATCCAATACTTGCATAAGATGAAACCATGGCATTTGAATCACATATTATACTTACCACACACATAAACCACTGATAGAAACAGTTGTATATGAAGGGGTCAAGAGAAAGCACAAACCTTGGAAACATTGGGCCTGCCTGGATGTAGCACATCAACGACCTATATAAACACAAAAACTGTAAGAGTAGAAACAAATGACAACACTAGAAGTCAAAGTGGCTGCAGTTGAGCAAATCTCACAAATTGTTTCCTCGAAAGAAGCCTGTTTGTCATGAACTTCCTCGTGCGAATTGTCACTGCCTTGGTGTCAGCCATTTTCACTACAATATAAAAAAAAACGACATAAAACCTCTATACCATTCATAATTGTCCAATTATAGCGGTAGATCACTAAGCATTTAAAAAAACTCCAATGGATGTATTAAGCGTAACAAATATCAAACTTCAAAGGTCCATTTTCCATGAAACCCTGAAAAGAACTATATTACATTCATCTGAGTTCTGACACAACTTCAATTGTATACAAATAACACTAAAAAATGACTCTAAAATCTGAAAGCCACATTTCAGATAACTAGTAGACTCTACAAGAAGGTCATGCTGACCAACCAACTATGCCATTTAATTACTACGAGTTGATTAACACTGCGTTGATTTATAAAAAGAACGGCTCCGTCAGATCCCCAAAATAAAACAGGTGTAAAATGGAAGGAGGTGACGTCGTCGATGGGAGAAAAGCTCGCGCTCTCCCCATCCTACCTACCGATTTAAGAGCTGTTTAAGAAGAATTCGCTATCATTGATTACACCGGTCAAATTTTAACCTCTGTGTACGAATCAATTGATTATTCGACTCCAGTAAAGCAATACAAAAGAGATTAATGAACACATATCAATGCAATTACTACTATAAGAATAAGAATCACGGCGGAGACGGACCTGAGATCAGCTGCTCCGATGGACAACGGCGGTTGCGCTCTCTTTCCTCTTGAGTAGATTAAAAACCCTACGATCAAATTACGAACATATTTATAGTCCGAACTCGGAAGACATGCCATATTCTTTTCGTGGGCTGGCCCAATATTAGATCCAAATTTAGCCCACCAGCCCATTACTGACTTCAATGGGTTTTCTAAATAGGGGTGTGGATTACACGGATCCGGATGGGTTCGATCGTACTTCATATATGGAAAGTGGGAAACTAAACCTTGAATCATACTCTTACACGTGGACCAAATTCGGTGTCTTTCTCCGGCACCCCACCACTACTCCGGTAACGTCCTCTGGTCATTTTGTCTGATTAAGACGTCGTCTCCGATGATCGATCACTAAATACCCACTTGTGACAGTGGTATGGTATCACGATGGTACTACAATTGGTATCATAGTGGTCTCAAAGTGTACTTGGTGTATTTTGAGTATCACATTATGTATCTTGGTGTGATTTGGGTATCACATGGTGTTCGTCCGAGATAAAAAAAATTAAAATACTTAAAATGTTTTTTAATTATAAGTTTAAGTCAAATTACCAAAAATATAAGTTTCTTAACTTATCAATTGATTTATAGTTGGAATTGGATCGCACAATTATCACAAACTAATCAGTTCTTCCTTGTATTGACCCCTATATATATATATATACACACACTCAATCGAGTTTGAGGATGTACTCAATCGATCGAAATGACGAATCGATAGTATGTCTATAATTTAGAATGAGTATGACCGATTAGGATTTTGGATTTTCAAAATATAATTAGACAAATAAATATATTTATATAATATATAATATACAACGGGTTTTCAAATAGGTCGATGGTCACAAATCAAACCCAACTGGAAACCAAATATCCCGTAAAAACCGTGTTTTCGGATTTTTGGATTTTGGGATATTTGGGTTTTGCACAAACATCTTATTTTTTGGTCAGTTGTGGATTCAGATTTTGGAGCATTTGGGTTTTGCACACTTCTATTTCTAAACACTTTTAAAATTTAGAATTAGAATCATAATCGAGATGATCGATTTTTAATTAATTGAGAAAACACATACACACAAACACACACATATATATATATATATATATAGAGAGAGAGAGAGAGAGAGAGAGAGAGAGACGGGTTAGATTACAAACCGTCTGATTCGTGAAAACTGTGTAAACCACTTTCGATCAATAGTAATTTTTTTTCTTCAATTTTAATAAGTAAGGGTACAATGGTCGTTTGATTGTATACTGATTAATATTTGAAGGTAATAATTATTCTTAATTATGGAAACGTAAATATAGTAACCTCTAATATAGAAGGTGGTAAATCAATTATTTTTTAATATAAAATTATTACCATTAATAGTTTTTATTATTTTATTAAATTATAGTCTTAAAACATGAATTGTAAAAAGAGTACAATATGAAATTTGATTTCGTTTCATTGATCACATATACGTAGTTTGAGTAATGAACGAATGCCACGTTCAATAGTGACCATGAACATAATTTCACTGATAAATTTAATTTATTAATATTTTGAAATGTTTCATGCATGAAAAAAGTTTCACTCATCTCTCTCTATATATATGTATTATGTTTAATATCAATCAACATAAATGCACATCAATTACAATGATTCATTGATTTGTGTATATTAAACCTATCATATAATAGACACTGATGAATATTTCTCACATACATAGACAATAAGCATGAAAAACAAACACGTATCATTTACAAACAACTTTAACTCGCTTATCGTATTTAACATCCGTTTATACTTCAAATCGAAAATCCAGCTTCCGGTCCGACCACCATTGACCACAACATTTGCACATCTTCACATGAGCAACACTTCACGTCTTCATATAACACGTACAATCCTTTACCTGCAAACAAACCGATAAAAACCCCACAATTCAAGAACAAACCCATCAAACATTTCGAGAAAAGTTTACACAGTTTTGACCACGGAACTCATGCATACAAACCACGATCAAACTGCATACGTTTACGACGACGGGTGTGCACAGATTGGATTCGTCTCCACAAGATCTTGACGGGGGAAAAGATAGATTGAAGCCACCCCATTTGAAAGCTTGAATTGAGTTTGTGATCAAGAATGGTGATTTATTGTAAGAATACTAAGAAGGGTTATTTATGGTATGATGTCAATGTCAAAAATACAAACACCACCTTCAATACACTTTGTGGTAATTTGACCAATTTATATTAGTAGTTGGTATGCCATTTAGTGGTACTACAAGAAACAAAATGAGATGCTTCACCTACACAAATAGAAAAGCCAAACGGGTCATTTTTTATCGTATTTTTGTTTCATACAGACGTTAATAATGATAATTTGTAACTACAAAGATGGTGTCTGATTGGTTTGAGCTTGACTCCAAAGGTCAAAAGTATATCGGGAGCCGGGAGGTCCCGGGTTCAAATCGAAGGAGGAATAAAAATTCTCTTGTGGCCACGGAGGTTCGAATGCAGTGACTCCGGACCTTGGGATTAGTCGGCTCGCATAGCGGGTTGGATATCCATGTTAATAAAAAAAATGATAATTTGTATAAAAAAAGTTCGTTTTTTAATCTGATTTGAATAAATTGAGTAATATGCATAACATAACTCGAAGGCCTTTACCAGTTTTATGTTCACGGGGGTTATAACCACTTCTAGTTTAGAAAATACTGTTTAAACTGTTTGATTTACCTTTTTTTTTATTTAATTTATTAGTGATTATAGTAGGAGGGTTGGGTTCATGTGATCTAGTCTGTTTTCGTGAGACCCGTGAGATCATTTTTTTTTACACTTGGAACTTCATAGGAAAACATTGTGAAGGTAAAAAAAAAACGAACCTTGCATTCACAGTGTTTTGGTGTGAAGTTTTACGTGTAAAAAAATGGTATTACGGGTCTCGCAAAAATAGGTTGGTCTCACATGATCCCAAGTCTATAATAGGATATTGGTAACATTTATTTTGATTCAAAAATTGATAGAGTTTGAGACATTTAAAGTTTAAACGATAGACAAATGTTGCATATGAATATTATTATGTTTTTATTTTCGGGGGTTAAGGTTTGTATTAAGTTAGACTAGAAGAGTACTCGTGTAGTGTAGCGAGACACATCTCGATTTTAATGTTCTATTTTATTGTTTGTCTCTGTCGATGTTATAATACAATTTTATGTGTTTTTAAGAAAACAATAATGATTTTATTTTTGAATAAAATATAAATTTAAAGATATCATATAGATTTAAAAAAATATATATATCAATGTTAATATCAAATCAACTATTTAAATGTTCTCATTTTTTATGAATTTTTTTAATTTTTTTATTTTATTATAATCTAATTTAAGTTTAATAATGAATAATTTATTTTTGATTTGATAATATAACATTTTATAAAAATAGTAATTAATCTTTTTGTTAGAATTCAATGATTATCCTAATTATATGTTAAATTTTTTATATTTAAAATGATATGTTTATCCTGTATTTGAATATGTTTATATACAGTTAGTTACACGAATTCAGATATGAAACTTTAATAAGTTGTACTTACGCACAATCTACTTGTAATATTTAGTTTGAAGTAATATGCATTAATAAACAGTACTTTACGCATAAAAAGTGGTTTTTAAGAGTTTTTGTCAAATGCTTTATAATATAGTACAAATAAGCAAAGAGATATAATACTAGGGGTATAAACGATACTAGACAACTCACAAGCTACTCGAGTTTGACTCGGTCAACACTTGACTCAAATAGGCTCGGCTCAAACTCGACTCGACATATCGAGTCGAGCTACCCAATACTCGACTCGAAAAGCTGGTGAGCTACTCGAATTTTTTATATATAATTGGTTTTTAAAATGTAATTTTATAATATAATATATATATATATTATAATGTTTAAAAAAGTCTTATATTTTTAGATATTTGAACAGTATTGTGCATTTTTAACTGTAAAAATTATACCAATAAGTTTTTTTTTTATTTATTAAAATCATAATTAAAAAAGACAAAAACTATAGAAGTGTTGGTGTGAAATTGTCTCACATTAGAAGATATATAGTAAAAGAAAGATGGAGAGTTGTTATAAAAAATTCTTACGACCAAAGTAAATAATAAAATCAATCTGTAATCATGATCGGTTTTATACGACACTTAAAATGTTTAATTGTCTTAATAAAGTTTTTACAAGATTTAAGTTTATATGATCATATTATAATTTCTAAAAAATTTAAAACGTTTTAAAAATAAAATGTTGTATTAACTATTTGATAAAACATTTTAAAGAAGTGTCCTATAAACGTATCTTTTTACATGACACTTTTGTTTATAGGTGTACTATAAAACAACTAACACAACACTTTATTTATTTTTCTAAATCAAAACCCTTAAAAGTGTTCTATGAACTTATTGTAACATTTTTAGATATGATATTTGATGGTTTTGATGTTATGCACTTAAGTCGTATAAAGCAGTATATTAAGACACTTAGATATTTTAGGCATCCTATAAACACAGTATATGATGATGTAGTATTTGAACTCATAATGATTTTTCTTTGGGACACCTTCCCTTGGTCTTTCATAAATGCTTTTTTCACACGTGAAACAAGGACCGGTCGATAGGCTTCTTATCATGGTCGGGTGACATGAGTCAGACCGATGTCTAGAATGCAGATTAGGGCTATGAAACGATCGTTTTGTCGCAACTTAACATATTTGCATTTATCGTTGATTTAAAATTTGATGCTAAAAGTTTCGCGGAATGTTTGCAACTGCGAGTTATTTATAGACGATCAATGTAAAGACCCAAAATCCGAACTTTATCTTAACCTCAAATCATTAATAAAATTCAACCTTAAAATTTGGAAACTTACATAAAATACTGGATTGAAACAGTTTAAACATAAATTACAGCGGAAGTCTAAAAATTTATTCTGATCATACATCAATTGCTTAAACCCACAACTGACTACTCTTCGTCAAGACAAGTCACAACTATACTTCATTTCAAGTCTATCCTCTTCACGCGTAGCCTGGCGCTACGCCCTCTCTTTGCCCTTGCTACTGTTCTCATAAGTGTAGTGACCTGCTTGCATTTTTTATTTAAAAAAAAAACACGAGTTTGGTGAGCTTAAGGCCCAGTGAATAAACGGTTTACACACAATTCATAAACTACCGAAACCATTAGGGGGAAATGACTATATCACACAGCATTGTCTGGCGAACTTCACATAGCATGTTCGCTCTTACGGCTTAACAAGCTTCACACAGCGTGCTTGTTTTCAGGATTAAATCCTTAGTACAGTTTCCCTCCAAATTTCCTACATAACATTTTATCACAGAAAACACGTTCACACAGCAAACATATTCGTAAAATACAGCAAGCTTGCAATTTAACAGAAACAAATATGCAACCCTTAAAAAAACATCACGTAAACTCACAGTGATTGATAGCTTCGAATGTTCGTCTGATGAACGTCACACACACAACTCTTGAATATCGATTCTCTGCTTTCGCCTTCTAGCTCTTGAATACCTCTATTTGCTAGTAAGAAACCAATCTCTAGCTCATCACCTCTATATATACTCTTGGTAGCCTCCTTACGAATTAATTACCACTTAATTGGTCGATTACAAGGCAATTAATACCATTTTAAAAACACAATTTATTCTTTTATAGCGGTTACGATTCTAGGCCATAAATAGTTCTAATGACAAAAAATAAAAATTAAAAATTAAGTAAGATTCTCAAAAAACCTCAAATAATATTTTAAGTTATTACAATCAAGTTCAAGTTTGAGGTTGGCGTAATGTGTTCAAATAACATCGCTTCAAGGTGATACTTTCGTGTTTTGTTTTCAAACACAATAATCAAACAAAAAAACTGACCAATTACATTTTTATATATAATGAACATAATCAACTAGACAAAGGATCATGTGTAAATAAAAATTAAGATGATAATCGTAAGAAGAGATTTGGACCCTTGATCACCTTTAATCTTAAACCCACACATGAATCGTGCTTGATACGGGGATAGATCATGTGCATCTCATCCTAATGTGCATCTAATGTGGAGACCTCTTCTTACGTTTCTCACCTTAACTCTCTTTCTCACTGAAACCCACCCCTAATCAACTAAATTAACCCATACCGACCCAGTAAATCCCACTTGAAAATAAAGTTGTTTGAGGGGATAGATGTAGGCAGACCTAATATCTATCCTACAAAGTAGAGCGACTGTTTTTTTGAAGAGACCTCACATATCCCAAGAGTGAGCATGTGGTAAAAAACACAAACAAAAAGTAAAAGAAATCGATAATTACACAAAAGATAAAACATAAATAATAATCAAACAGATAAGGTCAAACAACACATCTCTAACCTACAAGTAACCAACTAATTGATGTGAACTTTAACCCGGGATGAAAAAAGGAGAGAGAAAAAAAGGTATAACAAAAAATTGTAAACATTTCAACTATTTGATAGTTCATAAATAATTGGATAAACATATAACAATATAAACAAAATGAGGGTTGGGTTATCGTGAGACCAACATGACCGTAAAATAACATTGAATGTGCACAGCAAAATACCGTGAACGTACAAAAACCATCAAACCTTCACATAAAAAGTAACGTGTGAAACCACAAGGGTGGCGTCTGATTGGTTTGAGCTTTTTGGTTCTAAAGATCAAAAATGTCTGGAGGTCCCAGTTTCAAATCCAAAGAGCAATAAAGATACCCTCATGGTCACGGAAGTTCAAATGCGGTCACCTGGGATTAGTCGGCTCGTATAGCGGGTTAGATATTCAGGCTAATAAAATAATGTGTGAAGGTCCAGTGTTATTTTGTGGTATCACGAAACCATGGTCGTCTCACACGGATATGATCATTAAGGTTTGATTATCAAAATGGTGGCTTTAACGGTCAACTGACAATAAGGTCTGGTTCTTTAGGGAGTCTCCTCAGAAACCATAGGTTCAAGTGTCACTGTAGATTTTTCTTACTGTTATCCAAAACTCTTGAAATTAATTGAAATATATGTAAATTGACTCAGATAACCACGATAAGAAATACGAAAAAGCACTACCCATAAGGCCATAACCAATAATACCCCATTTGTAAATGTTCCCACTTTTGATGAGCAAAATGATGGGGTTTTAAGCATGAGTCATTTCCCAACCAAAAACATCTTCATAAACCCCATTTATTACGCTAAATTGCCAATCATAAAAAGAGACTCAAAGCATGAAAAAAGCCACACTCATTCTACTCTGCCCACTGTGTGTTTGTGTGTGAGAGAGAGAACATTGAGTGAATATATAATTCCATTCTTACCATACGCCATTTTCTTCAACAATCATCCTTGAATCTTTTGCCCTAAAACTTCAAGAAATCTTGAAATTTGGATGTTTTTGGATATAACCCACAATTTCTTTTTGGGATTTTATTGTTTTTTTTTTTTTTTTTGTAATAGTATTGTTTTTAAATAAATCTTGAAATTTGGAGGTTTGTATAGGCAACCCACAAATTGTTTTTGGGTTTTTATTGTTTTTTTTTAATAATAATATTTGGTTTTCAAGAAATCTTGAATTTGGATGTTTTAGAGGTAATCTACAATGTCTTTTTGGGGTTTTAATATTATTTTTAAATAATATTTGATTTTCAAGAAATCTTGAAATTTGGATGTTTTTAGAGGTAACCCACAATTTATTCTGGGTTTTTGTTATTTCTTTTTCCAAATAATATTTGGTTTTCAAGAAATCTTGAAATTTAGATGTTTTTAGAGGTAACCCACAATTTGTTTTAGGGGTTTTATTGGTTTTTTCTATAATATTTGGTTTTCAAGTAATCTTGAAATTTGGATTTTTTTTAGGGGTAACCCATAATTTTATTTTATTTTTGCATTTTTATTGTTCTTTTTAATCGTATTTGGTTTCAACAAATCTTGAAATTTAGATGTTTCTAGAGGTAACCCACAATTTCTTTTTGGGGTTTTTTTAATTAATAATATTTGATTTTCAAGAAATCTTGAAATTTGGATGTTTTTATAGGTAACCCACAATTTCTTTTTGGGTTTTTTTTTAATTAATAATATTTGATTTTCAAGAAATCTTGAAATTTGGATGCTTTTATAAGTAACCCACAATTTCTTTTTGGGTTTTTATTGTTTTTTTTTTAATTTATAATATTTGATTTTCAAAAAATCTTGAAATTTGGATGTTTTTATAGGTAACCCACAATTTCTTTTTGGGTTTTTTATTGTTTTTTTAAGCATTTGGTTTCTAAGTTGTATAAATGAAAGACTTCCCTTCTTGTTTTGGTGAAAATGGTGTTCAAGTGGCAGAAGCTTCTCCTTCATCAGGTGATCCCATCACTCCAACTACTACTACTAGAATTGCACAAAATCTTGTGACTTGTGTCTACCAATGCAGAATGCTTAATTCATCTTGCTTCATTATCACCATCACTTGGACCAAAAGCTTAATGGGTCAAAGTCTTTCTGTTCGAATTGATGATTCAGACCATCATTCTCTCTGTAAACTAGACATTAAGCCATGGTTGTTCTCCAAAAGAAGAGGGTTTAGAAATCTTGAAGTGGGTTCTAAGTTGATTGATGTTTATTGGGATCTTTCGTACGCAAAGTTCGGTTCTTCGCCCGAACCGGTTGAAGGTTTCTATTTCGCCATTGCTATGAACCAAGAACTGATCTTGATTTTAGGGGATATGGAGAAGGATGTTCACAAGAAGATGTATGCAACTAGTTTGGCTCCAAACGGCGTTTTGATTTCGAAAAGAGCACATGTTTTTGGGAAGAAGGCGTATTCGACACGGGCCCAGTTTTGTGGTAGAGGTCAAATTCATGATATCGTGGTTGAATGTGATACGATGGGTGCGAATGATTCGTATCTATTGATACGTATAGATGGTAACCCGGTGATGCAAGTGAAGTGCCTGAGATGGAAATTTAGAGGAAATTATACCATTTTGGTTGACGGTCTGCCAGTGGAGGTTTATTGGGACGTTCATAGTTGGCTATTCGAGAAACTAATGGGAAATGCAGTGTTTTTGTTTCAGACGTGTCTTTCATCAGAGAAACTATGGTCGAGTGAGGATCCATCTTGGTTAAGTAAAGATCGACACTCGGGTTTGGGGTTTTCTTTGGTGATGTGTGCATGGAAGAATGAATAGAAGTGTTTGTGTTGGTACACAGTTATGATTGTTTCGACTCTACTCCAATTGTATGGTGTTGTTTTTATTGTGGGTGTCTAAGCTAGCTTACGTGCATTTTGACTAATCTCATGGGGCCTTGAAGAAAACATACAGACATGACAAATCTCAAATGACACTGAAGAAAACAGCAGGAAATCCCAAGTGGCTGAAGGAGACTAAATTAATGACGTATGTGGAGAGGGCGGAGGTCTAGCATTTATTTGTCAGTTAAGCTAGCTCTCAAGATTGATCGTGTGTTGTTTTATAAGCTTATTGGTCGATTATACGAGTCTATAGTTTGCTACATGATGTGCGATGTGTCAGTGTTGCTTCATAACCGAAAGAGATCTTTATCGTTGTATGCTCTGCAAACTGTTGGTTTGCAAACGTATTATCTTTGATGGATTGATGTCAAAATCGTCTTTTTGATGCTTTTGCCTTTTAAGACTATACAATACATGAATCAAGTTAGATCATCTCCAACAAATTTTTATGATTTATCTGAAATGGAGAGCCAAAGGTTTAATTTTCTAAAAAAAAATATACTCAACTTTAACAGAGACTATGAGTCTCATCCCTTCCCGCCCCATGTACAAAACACGATGTTAGGGCCACAAACGAATTCTATAACCTCATGTGAACCAAAGGGTTTTGGTATAGTTTCAAACCTCGATCAACTAAAACCAAGATTTTAGACAGTGTGAGGCGTGAGGTGACGACAAGGTCAAACCGTAAGTCTTAGGAGCCACAGTGAGGCCACATCGTTTTTCAAGGCGTGAGTTACGATGACAAATTTGTATATCATATATAAACCTTGTATTCTTCTATTACTCAACGAATTAATGATATTAAGCATTTTAAACCAGGTTATACAAAATAGTAAGAAAAATCAACTACGGTGTTATAATGATCACGCATTTGGTCATGACGTGCCACATGTTTAACGTGATGCTAGACACAAAATGAATAACGTAACGAGTTTTTTAGAACACCAACTAAAACAAAAAAAAAATTATAAACTAAATATTGTAAAACTTTGAAGCATATATTTGAAATTTGATACTATAGTAAACATATTATTTAAATTGTCTTATAAAATAGATGCAACCTTTTTTTTTGTCAAGAATAAAAAAACTTTTCCAAAAAATGACATAATGTAAATACTTGAAGGGGCTAAGTGCAAATTTCCACCTCTTTGTAACAATATTTTTTTTCCTCCAAAAAATGACATAATGTGAATACTTGAAGGGTCTAAGTGCATTTTCCACCTTTTTTGTCACAATAAAAAAACTTTTCCGAAAAATGACATAATGTGAATACTTGAAGGGGCTAAGTGCAAATTTTCCACCTTTTTTGTCACAATAATTTTTTTTCTTTTCAAAAAATGACATAATGTGAATACTTGAAGGGGCTAAGTGCAAGTTTCCATTCCTCAAATCTCCATTCCGACAGGCCACAACTAGTTTCATTTTCATCCATCGTCGCATAGAAGAGAAGGAGAGCGAGATGACAACCATCCGAAGATTTTGCTGCGATGATCTTCTCCGATTCTCTTCCGTAAATCTCGATCATCTCACAGAAACCGTAAGTGTTATCTCCATATTTCTCTGATTTGGGATAACGATTGGAAAAAAAAACCGGTCCTCTTTCGGTATCGAACCTAAGTGGAGAAATCTCGGTTAATTTGGGGTTGGAAAGGAGTATTTATGTGTATTGCTAGTTTATTTGTTTTCATCATGATTATAATGGGATGATGATTTTGAATCAATGTACAGTTTAACATGTCGTTTTATATGACCTACTTGGCACGCTGGCCTGATTATTTCCATGTCGCCGAAGCTCCAGGAAACAGAGTCATGGGATACAGTAAATTCTCCCTTATTCTACTTCCTTATCCTGCTGTTTTGTTCAATTTTGTTTCATTTATATTTTGTCATGAAATTGATGCTTATTTTGGGGGATCTATGTGAAGGAAGACTGGATGCTCATTTGGATTTCATTATGTGATTAGGGTTTTGTTCCCTCTTTTGAATTGCACGGTCTATAACACATTACGTAGCAAAATTGACATTAATGTTTGAATCGATAGAGTTTTGGATATATTATAGTTCTTTTTATTGATTATATTGATTCTTACCCAAGTCAATATAGGTGTTTATTGATTTTGACCACATTCATTGTGGGTTTGTTGAAGATATCCATCTACATTGCTTATCTGTTTTGTGTGACATTGAAACGATATATGGACTTAATGTGTTTACTTTGGCTATAGTTATGGGTAAAGTCGAAGGACAAGGCGAGTCCTGGCATGGTCATGTCACAGCTGTTACAGTCGCTCCTGAATTCCGCAGGCAGCAGTTGGCTAAGAAACTAATGAACCTGCTTGAAGACATCAGTGACAAGATGTAAGTTGAGCATTTACTTATTAAGCTGTACTTGTTTGCAATAATTGTGTGTCTACTTTGTTGCATTTTAGTAACAGCTGAGAAGTCATATACTTGGTATTCCTTTTCTCTTACCATGGTTACTTCTCCATTTCACATCGTACATACATTTAACTGGTTCGTTTTAAGTTGAAGTCACCAAATACTATAATTGATTCTGATATAGAGGGGTAATTCTTAGATGCTGGACTTGGATTCTCGTAATTGTTTTTCAGAAATGGCGGAGAAGAAAGACATAGTTGCAATATGCATGGACATGATTGAGGTTATGTGGACTTTTAGAGGAGCAAGATCCCCTTAAGTACAGGTAGAGATTGATGCAGGATGACAAGAAGGGTAAGAGAGGACAACCGTTCTGCACTAAAACTCTCAAAAGGATCTCAGGCAATATAAATGATGGCAAAATACTTTGATAGACTCGCTAACAATAACCGTATTTGTAGCAAAGCCATAATAGAGGCTTTCCCTTGTATTGGGCCAAGTAGCCAGTCAGCAGTTTAAACAAGCAACGTGGGTCAGAAACTAGATTAACTGACATATCTATAAATTCAAATATAAACTGGTAAAATAAACAATTATAAATATGATACACTGGTAATATAGGCAGAAACCATAGAAAGACAGACGGATTGAGAAACATTGGAACAAAGATTTGTCTGGACGCCCATGGTAGACCTGCAGAAAATTTCTATAGCTTGTGGTTTAACAGAGGAATTGCCCTGGAGGCTGGACAGAGCTGAATCGTGAGACCATGAATTAGAGGACAGCCGGTTGGTTTTTTATTAAATCATGTATGGATAAAGCTGTCTGTATAGATACCTAGATGGGGAAGTTTGTTTGGGAGGGTTTTTCATAGATGGAAGAAGCGTATTTTTATTTATTCAGAGGGGAATGTTTGGGAAAAAACTTGGCTTTCTGCATAAAGCACCTCCTTGAAGCTTATTGAATAAGCCACTTTTATGATTAAGCGCTTACAAATAGTCATATATAGCTGACCGAAGAAGCTGCGAGTCCCATTAAGCTGCTAACAAACATGTCCTAAGTCAACCTCAAGTAAATAATAAAAGGGCTTGGTGGGTTGAGTTGCAGCTATCTTCAACGTGGTCATCTTAAGGTCTTACCAATTGGCTTTATGAGCGGCAAAGCTTTGAATTAGTTGGTACAAAATATTTCCAGTTTATGATTCACATCCTTTTTGGTTGTCCCATCATTCTGTCATCTGGATATCTTTTACTAATTACCTTCGATCTGCATTCTGCGATGGGCACGTACTCATGATAATTGATGATCGAATGGGGGTAAATGAAGCAATTAACATAGGGCAAAGCATGAATCATAAGAGGGGAGGTGGTGTTTACCGAATAGATATATTTCTAAGAAGTACTGATTTATACATGCATATACACACATATCTATATATATTGATAAACCTTGAATTATTCTATCCATCTATGCTAGCTTACCAGTGGTCACTTTTTATTATATGTGTAACCGTCTTCAACTGAGCGGCATCATGGTTCCTCTTTTCATCTTTCATCTGAATTATTTTCTGTCGGGTGTTTTATTTTCTCCGGGGGCAGTGACAAGGCGTACTTTGTGGATCTCTTTGTAAGAGCATCAAATACACCGGCTATAAAGATGTATGAAAAGGTAAAATTTTGATGATCATCATCTTCGTTCCTCTCTTGCTCTCTCTCTCTCACTCTCACACACAGACACACAGTGTTTGTTTTTCAATACTTGTTTTATTTGCACCTGTGCCTGGTTGTTGGATTATTCATCCTCAAAAGGCACCCGTTTGGCTTGGAGATGGTTTATTAAGGGTGCGTTTGCCGTTTGGTATGTGGGACTTGACAGGACAACAAAAACTTGTTTGAGTGTGACAAAGTGCATCATTTTTGTAGGTGGAACAAAAAACCGGGAGATGCTACAAGATTGGTAAATTAATAAACTACCCATGTCAAATTAAAACCCAAAAACCTTCCGAAGTTCTTTCATCCACCTACCTCCCTCTCGTCCGTCCAGTCCTGTCCAATCCTCAAACATATGAAGGGCCTGACTGTTAACAACTTAGTGAGCTTAATGGGACTTCTAGCTTATTCGGTCAACTATATGACTGTTTGGTAGCGGCTTAACGATATAGAAAGCGGCTTATTCAATAATCTTCTAAGGGGAATTTTATGCAGAAAGCCAAGTTTTTTTTCAAACCTGCTCCTCCCAATTAAGAAACACACTCCTTCCACCTATGAAAAACCCTCCCAAATAAAAAACCTTTCTAATCTATACAGATAGATTAATCAACACAAACAGCTTTATCCATATAGGACTAATGGAAAACCAACCAAATAGCCCCGAAAACACCTTAAATGAATAAATTATTTGAACATAGCGAGTATTGTGATCATTCTCATTGCTTTGACCTCTTTCTTGCAGCTCGAGTACATTATTTATAGACGTGTATTACGTTACTATTCCGGGGAGGAAGATGGCTTAGGTAAGCCGTCTCAAAACCACCTTCCATCTTCTTCTCCATAATTCTTGCTTACAAGTTACAAAACAATCTTTATACGATTACTTTGAATTTATATTCAGATATGAGGAAAGCATTATCTCGAGACGTAGAAAAGAAGTCTATAATCCCACTCAAGAGGCCAGTTATGCCTGATGAACTGGAGTACGACTAGATCGGGCTGTCGATGGTAAGTTTTATTATGTTTGTGCCATCATATTTGTTTAAGTAGAGGGCTTCATCTCTGTAAACTAGAACCTGAAAGTACACTGATTTTAAGCGTTTAATTTACGCAATTTGGTATCGAAAACAATATCAAATTGCGGAAACAGTCGCTCTACAATTTTCGATAGAGTCAGATCTGCGTATATCTCACCATCAAAACTCATATCTAGGTAGGATATACTCAGCTTGTTTGGTTAACACTTAACAGGTCTGCATATACCTCACCATCTGACCTCACATCCAGGTGGGATATCTTGCGCGTGTTTGGTTAACAGTTTTTACTGAATATGATTATGGGTGTTTAATCTATTTGAAAGGATTGACTAGTTGAATATGGGTGTTTAATTTAAGCAGTTGCAATGAAACAACTATCAGAACCAAACATCTAGGGTGTGAATGTTTATATATATAGACACCAAACCAGACTGTTTTTGTTAGACTCGTGATACCATTTTTTACACTTGAAACTTCATAGTAAAAAACTGTGAAGGTTTGGATTTTTTTTACTTTCACAATGTTTTGCTGTAAAGTTTTTTGTGTAAAAATGTGGTCTCATGGGTTTCACGAAAACGTCTCATGTGTTTCACGAAAACGTCTTATGTGAGCCCAACCTTATATATATAGGATTGGATTCTGGTGAAAATGAAAGTTTTAGTGAGAAAGGTAAGAAGATATCTACCTTGGATCAATCATAATTGAAGTAAAATGAAAGTTAAAGTACGTTATTTTTTTACCAAAATGAAAGTTAAAGTACTTTATTTTTTTAATTTCAATTTGCCCATTTTCATATACAAAGTTTTGTCACATGAACAGAAAATGTTGATATTATTATATATGACGTTAAAGATTACATTAAAAAAAATTCCATTACTGACTATAAATTACCGAAACCATAATTTTATTACAAAATTATACGATATCAGTACTTTTATCACATGTAACACTTCAACAATTACATTCGAAATCACTTTTATGATGGCCTTACACTTTATTACATTCATTTGTAACGCATAATTATCGCAAACAATTTGCAATACAAATTATTGTTTTTCGCAATTATTGTTTTCGACAACCGTAGAGTATTTTTGATAGATTTTTTTAATGGATAAAATAGAGAATTTAGGGCTTTTTTTTATTGATCTTAGGTTCTTAAAAAATTTCAAAATGAAAAATAGGTTCTCCAAAAATCATTAATAAGGAGAGAAACATGTTTCTTTTTTAATTCCAACCAATAATTGTAATGCAAATTACATGAAAAAATAACATATTTTAACATGATTCTTATTTTGAATAATGTACTTTCAAAACTTTCATTTTGGTATCTAAGATATAAAGTTTTAAACATTTAAGTACCTGAGTAATCGATTGAAGACTAATTTTAGGTTAAAAAAAATCTATGTCACTAACCACCTTAGCAAATAATAGTGAGTTGGATACCACATCTTTCGTCACATCAGTATGGTAACCGGTTAATGTTTTCAACCGATTACCCGGATATTAAATGTTAAATGTTTAAAACTTTGCATCTTAAAGTATTAAAATGAAAGTTTTGAAAGTACGTTACCTAAAATAAGAATCAAGTTAAAATACATTACTTTTTCATACAATTTGTCTTTTTAAATAAATAAATAATACTTAATTAAATATATGTTAATAATATAGTAATGTATGTTTATGATGATCTTAATGAAACTCACAACTTATTTGATAAACTATATATGATTTATTAGCAGTGACTTAATGATATCGAAAATAACTTATTCAGTAAAATTATAAGAATAAGTTTTATGTAGAAAATCAAGTCTTTTTTTCAAATTTGTCTTTCCTAATTAAAAAACATGCTTATTCCATTTATGGAAACTATCTCAACAATAACATTCTCAACCTGTAGATACATTAATCTACACAAACAACTTTATTCGTACGAAATTTAATCAATTTAATAAAAAAATCAATCAAACAATCTTTTAATATTGTAATATCTGAAATGGAAAAACCCTTAAAATTAAAAACAATTTTTTAAATACTAGAAGGGTATTCGCATAATATAGCGAGATATATCTTGATTTCAATTTTTTACTTTATTTATTTTCTCTGTTGATATAATACAATTTTATGTGGTTTTAGAAAATGATAATATTTTTATTTTTGAATTAAATATAAATTTGAAAAAAATATCGATATTGGTATTACATTAATTATTTAAAAATTCTCATTTTCCGTATAATTTCTCTAATTCAATTTTATATTATATTATAATTTAATTTAAATTTAATAACAAAATCAATAATTATCTTAATTATATTTTAATTTTTTATATATATACTATATTATAAAGCATTTGACAAAAACTTTTAAAAAACATTTTTTTATGCGTAAAATACTGTTTATTAATACATATTACTTAAAATTCAAGATTACAAGTAGATTGTGCGTAAGTACAACTTATTAAAGCACCATATCTGAATTTGTGTAACTAACTGTAGATAAATATAATCAAATACATGATAAATATCTCATTTTAAATATAAAAAATCTAAAATATAATTAAGATAATCATTGAGTTCTAATAGAATACTTAATTATTATTTTTATAAAATGTTATATTATTAAACCAAAAATAAATTATTTCGTTATTAAACTTAAGTTAAATTATAATAAAAAAATTAAAGAAATTACATAAAAAAATGAGAATTTTTAAATAGTTGATTTGATATTAACATTGATATATATATTTTTTAAAATTTTATGATATCTTCAAATTTATATTTTATTTAAAATTAAAATCATTATTATTTTCTTAAAAACACATAAAATCGTATTATAACATCGACAGAGACAAATAATAAAATAGAATATTAAAATCGAGATATGTATTGCTGCATTGCGTGAGTACTCTACTAGTTTAAAATAAAATGTTTTATTTTGTATTTGATTATGTATATCTACAATTAGTTACACGTTATACTTATACTTAATTTACTTGTGATATTAAATTTTAAATGATATATATCAATAAACAATATTTTATGCATAAGAAACAATTTTTAACAAATGTTTTATGATAAAATATATTTTTAATGAAAGTTCCCAAAAAATTGTTGGAAATTAGATAAACCCTGAAAAAATATCAAATTTTCCGGTGGTTGGTCAGCGGGCATTGGATAAAACCCCAACCTGGTTTGTAATTAGCCAGCAATGGCGATTCACCTATCTGGTGTGTTTTTCAACAAATCTTCAATCTCTTCACCTGTTTTTCAGCATCAAAGAAGACCGCCGTTAACGGTGTTTGCAGCCGCCTCCGCCTCCGCCTCGGCCGCGCATCCTCCTTCGTCCCCACCCACTATTCAGGCATGCCATCTATTTGTATCTACACAATTCTGTACGGCATCTGTTTTTCCTTTTATTGCTGAAATATGCTCTTACCGACTAAATTAAATCTCCTCCACTTGATCTCGATGAAATTCACAGTGAAAATATCAGCCATTTGAGGTTTTTTTTTTGCGATTCAAGGGTTTTGTGATGGAAAATGAGGAAGAATTTGAACGTGATCCATGTAGATACACATGCTACCATAAAAAGGGTTAGCGATCGATAAATTGAGCTTCAATTTGTATTGTTTTCGCAACCTGATGCACTCATTGGAACTAAATGCGTAGTTTATTTCTGATTTCAAACCTATTACTTCACAAATGTGAAATTTATGCCCATTTTAATAGGGATTCGATATCAAAAGACACAATTCGTGCTATGAAAGAAAAACGTTGATGCGATTTTGTTTGTAGTACCTGTTATAAGTGTAGATTAAAGGCCTCCACCTTAGATTATGGAAACCACTATGTAATAGAATCAGTTAGGGTGCGTTTGATATTGAGATCGGCCAGCGAGAACAACGGATCAACGTTTGGTAAGGTACAACTGAAACAGATAAATGACCAATTTACCCCAAATGAGATGTTCATATCTTTTACATATTTTGATTAATTTATGTAATTTACTAAATTTATTGAATTATAATAAAATAAATATTTTTATAACAAAATATATCATTAGAAAATTTTCGTCAAGAAGATAAAAATGACACGAAAATAAATAGTTTTTGTAGTTTTCAATTTTTATTTAATATAAAAACTGTATAAAAATTCTCTTTCGAGGACAATAAATGAAGTTTAAATAGTATAAAACACAATAAATAAAATTTAAAGAATGAATAAAATGTAAAGAGGGAGCCGTATTTGATGTTTTAGAAAAGAATTATGTTTTACTTTGGGGTTATACTATAGATCTGTTCCACCTTGTTCTTTGGGGTGGGGGTGGAACATGCTTGTTCTGGTTTGTTCTACATAAAAGTCAATGCCAAATGTGAAACAGTGATCCCTGTTCTGTTCGATCGTATCCAATGTACCAAACGCACAATTATTGTAGTACTTGATGGAACCGAGAACCAAAATTATTGCAGATTGTTGGTGGGAAATCTGCAAGTTGGTATGGAAATGGAGACATGAATTCTAGTAACGCAGTCGACTGTTTCAAAGACGGGTATGATTGGGCTGATCTTGAGAACGATCTTTATCACTGGACGAAGACATTGCGGCCTGTTCAGGTACTCTTAAGGTCTGGGAATCCCTTATGATTATAAGCTGGTGGAAAACCATCGTGGATTTGAAGTTAACATCTTAATCGCGATGTTTTTCAGTGGTATCCAGGCCATATTGCAAAAACAGAAAGGGAACTCAAGGAACAGCTAAAATTGATGGATGTGGTCATAGAAGTGAGGGATGGTAGGATTCCAATGTCTACAAGTCATCCTCAGGTAATATGTTTTAATTGAAGGGGAAAATGCAACAAAGTTTTGTTTAGTTCTAATTTAGTGTAACGGATAATTTATTTAGGGGCTGCTTGGTTGGTTTTCCATTAAGTTATGTATGGATAAAGTTTTTTGTGTGGGTTAATCTATCTGTATAGATTGGGAAGGTTTTTGTTTTGGAGAGTTTCTTCATAAATAGAATGAGCGTGTTTTTTAATTGGGAGGGCTAGGTCTTGAAAAAACTTGGCTTCCTGGAAAAAGGCCCCCCCCCCGCGGGGGGGGCGAAGCTTAAGCCACTTTCTAATCAATAATCCACTATCAAACAGTCATATTTAGTTGACCAAATAAGTTGTGAGTGCCATTAAGCTCATTAAGCCGCTAACAGACAGGTCCTTCCTTACCCTCCCTAGACCGTACCCCGTGTGCAATTCATTGGGTTTGTTTCATTTGGTATGGTTTGGTAAGCATCAATGTTGATGTCTTTGATTGAAAATTGGTGGAACATACATATAAATATCACATACTTGTAAAAAAGTAATGATAAAGTGTCCATATTTATTACTGTTGATGTCAAATTCTTATACTTTTAAGGTTACATGAACAATCAGATGGATTCATGGCTGGGTAATAGAAAGAGAATCTTGGTATTGAATAGAGAAGACATGATATCAACTGCAGATCGGAATGCTTGGGCGGATTATTATGGAAGACAAGGAATAAAAGTCGTCTTCTCCAATGGGAAGCTTGGAATGGTATACTGTCGGATTCCTTTTGTCCATGCTGTCTTGTTCTTGGAAAAAAACGCTACATATTAGGCATTAATGGCTTTCTTTAACGGTAAGTGCAGGGAGCCATGAAGTTAGGAAGATTGGCAAAATCAGTAGCTGCAGAAGTGAATATTAAACGCAGAGCAAGAGGGCTGCTTCCTCGTCCGGTGAGTTGCACAGAACCTCAAACACATACACACACACACACGTAGAGTTGGTTTCCGGTAAGAATAGTAGTTATCATGAGAAGGGTAAGAAGGGATTTCCATCTTTGGATCAATCATAATTGAAGATCAATTGAAAATACCCTCTAAGCGTAATTCATGGGTTGTTTTGGGACTTAACTCCTATTCTCACATGATCCTTAGTCTTACACACGTATATGTGTACATATATCAATGTATGTATGCATGCAGGAAGGTTGAGAACTATAAATATCTTGAAAACCGTGAGAAAGGGTATATGCATGTACGCTATCAAAATATGTATTATGTCAATGAATATATATAGAAGTAGAGTCCCAATCAGATACAAACCATGCAAACGTTACAAACCATACAAACCAATCTCAACCATCCATCTAGTCAAACGAATATCTGGTTTCATAAATATATCGATTGTTTCATAATATAAAGCATTGATCATAATTAATGAACTCTAATCATATTCCATAAATATTCAAATCATAATAATTGAACTTCCATCATTTCATAAATATTGGTTTGCATGTTTGTAACATATAGAAGGTTTGCATTTGATTTGCCGTCTATGCAAGTATATATGCCTTGATGCATATGCCAGACACCGGTTCTCAAAATGTTTATGGTTCTCATTTGATCTTTTACCATATAAATATAACTATAAACACACACCTTCATTTTACGAAAACGCGAGAACTCTCTTTTACTAGAGTCAATCACGTGTGATACTATAGTCCATCGTATATGACACACATTTGATACTAAATCAGAGCCGCAAACAATTTGTTGCTGGCCAAGTCGCTCGCACACCACTAGGCCCACTCACATGTATTATCATATGTCATAAGGGTATTCTCAAATACTATAATCCATCACATTAGATACTAAATCAAAGACGAGTATTATCACATCTGATAAGGGTGTTCTCGCATTTTCGTAAAATAGAGGTGTTCTCGTTAGAACCTCCACCTATATATATAAATAGTTTACTAGACATGATACAATGTATTACAGGTGCGAGCCGGAATAGTTGGCTATCCAAATGTTGGGAAGTCATCTTTGATAAATCGTTTACTAAAGCGTCGAATGTGTCCAGCAGCTCCACGACCAGGCGTAACGAGATCATTAAAGTATGTTATCTATTTATTGTTTTTACAGAGCAATTTCGTCACATTTTAGTAACTCTTTATTTCCCTTCTTGATCTTGGTAAAAGATGGGTTCGCTTCGGGAGCGACCTAGAGTTGCTAGACTCACCTGGAATAATCCCGATGAGAATGAGTGATCAAACGGCAGCAATAAAGCTTGCGATATGTGACGACATTGGGGAGAAATCATATGATGTTACCGATGTTGCAGCCGTTCTTGTACAAATGCTGTCAAAGCTTCCAGCCGCAAGTATGACCCTTTTCTTCGGTTTTTTTAATTGTCGTTACACCGACCCGCTTGCTTGTTTCTTTCAATTTTTGTTTTTTGTATGCCCCGCCCCGGGGGGGGGGGGGTGGGTTCACGAAAACAGTCTCTCTACTCTTTGCAGTAGAGGCAAGGTCTTACGTGTATTTGACAATCTACCCCCGTTCTTGTTTGTGGCAGATAACAATGTTCTATGGGAGCGTTACAAGATTGACACCGATGGTCGTTGTGGTAAAACGTAAGTTTCAAGTGCTGTTCTTCGATACATGACTTTTGAGGTCGAACGGATTAACTTAAAATTGATATTGGTTTTATAAAAAATTTAGCACACACCTGCCCTACAATGTACCACAGTTGGTTCCATAGTGGTATACTTGAATAAACAGACGATGGTTCGAGTCTAGCAGCAGCAGTGTGAGAGTTACAATTCTTTTGAGGATTGGACCCCTTTCTGTCAACTCAAAGGGCTTGACTCGTAAGGTTATCTTATTTGGATAGTCCTAAAATAAATCTTATTATGTAAAAATAAAAATGAATATAACAGCCCGTCTCACATGAATCGAAAATTAGATTTATGAGCTGCTTATAAGCTCAAACACTGTGGACCACCAAATAACTTTCATCGTAGTTTTAGTTTTATTTGAAGGTTATTGGGTCAGTCTACTGTTTTGGGTTACTGGTCATTACAAACAAACCTATGCACATTTCTTTTGGAACGTATGGTATAAACGTTGTGTTCCTAATGAACAGATTTGTCCACAAGCTTGCAATCGAGTTGTTCAACGGAGATGAGCATCAAGGAGCCTTTCGGATCTTGTCGGACTTCCGAAAAGGGAGATTGGGTTTGAGGGCACTCGAGAGACCCGTTCCATCTCGTCTTACATAAACACGTAAAAATGGAAAAACCGGAGTTACGGAAACCGAAGATGATAATAGGATTTAGATGTTTGTAGACATACTACAAAAAGGGAAAACCCTGTTAAGTTCTTGTATAATAGCTTTTTTATTGCTTAGTTTACTAAAACTGTTGTAAGATGTAAAGTTATGTACTTCTATTTTGATCTTTGTTAAGTGAGTGTCTTTATGGTTATCTTGTTGTTACTCAAATCTGGTAAATATTTACAAATACAATGAGGGGTTGTTTACTATTACGTTTATCCGGGTAAGTGTTTACCAGTAAATTCAACACTATCATTTACTTACCGAGTAAGTTTTAGTCTACCAAAATGGTATCGTATGCAACAATTTACCCAGTAAGCGCTTACCATGGTAAGAGTCGTTGCCCTCACTTATTAGGTAAGACTCTTGGTCCTTATCTCGTTTTTACCGGGTAAGATTGTTGGTCCTTACCATATTCATCCGGTAAGGTAATGTGATTTGGTAAACACTTACCCGGATAAACGTTTGATAAACGACCTCTAACTTAGGTTTTGTTATGCAAACTTGCTGACCAACTAGCTGGTAGCGGATGAAATAATCACGTATGATAAAAACTAGTTGAAAAATACAAAATGACAAAAAAAGACATGTTCAAAAATTAGTCAATTTTAACATTTAATAATATATTTAAAATAAATAATGATAAGTCTCGTGATGAATAGAAATAATGGAATGATAAAATTCAAATCCTATAATCTGTACATGTGTTTGTGGTCACTAAAAACTCCGCTTATTCAATTTGAGTTGGGTTTATGTGAGACAAGATTGTTTTCATGAGATAATAATTTTATACTTAAAATTTCACAACAAAATGCTGTGAAGGTAAAAAAAAAAAACCGAACCTTCACAACAAAAACATTATGAAGGTTATCTTTACAGTGTTTTGCTGTGAAGTTTCAAAGTGTGAAAACGTTGTCTCACGTGTTTCACGAAAACAACCGTCTTACATGATCCAAAGTCTCTTTCTAAACCACTATCATCCATCGATTTCATTGTTTAATATTATGAAATTTTTAAATGAAATTGTTTAATATATGATTATGAAATCGTTTCATATAATACTTATGAAATTTTAATAAAACCGTTTCATGTATTTCTCTAAAATTAATACAATGAAGATGATAATATTCATGATTAACATCCTCCATAATAAAAATGATTAATCAAACTTCTTATAACTACAAAAAAATGAATAACTATGATTGATTGTATGAAATTTGTACAATTTATACAAATAAAATGGTTTGTAAAGTAAACCTTCTCTGTGTATTTAAGAATAAATGTTTATATTTTAAACCATAAAAAAAAATAAAAAAAAAATAAAGGGAGTTTGAGATTGGGGGAGGGAAATAATAATTTTCGCTCGTTGTTTTCAATTTCAAAACACGGGGGGAAATAATTAAAGTGGATGGTCCCATTCTCACTTCAACTTCCACTCACCCTCATCATAACCTCCCTCTCTCAAACCCTTTCCTCCCTCCTCCTGCTTTCGCAGTTTTCCGCCGGAAAAACTAATCGGAAGACAAAATTGGTGTATCTCCGTCACCTCCACCACCGGTACGTTGTCTCCGCTCCTTTCCGTGTTCCTTTATACTACTCGACCGTCGGAAATCTCCTTTTTTTGTATGTATATTTGATGAATTTGAAACTAGTGAGTCTAGGGATTGATGTTAGAAACTAGATCAGTTTTTCGAAATTCGATTTTCGTCATATTTTTCTAAAAATTAGTGCTTAACCGACTTTGTGCGACAAATTTAGCGAGTTGATTTGGATGTCGTACATGATGGCGTTAATAACTGATAAGTTTGTGCTTGACGCGGAAGAAGTAGTTTCTGAGAGTATTTTGTTGTAGTTTTTTACATGAGTAAGAAAAATGGAAACCGTATTGCGAATTTGCGATTGCTCTGGTACAAATTGTTGTCGCGGTTCCGTTCCGTTTTCCTTTATACTAATTGTACTGTTAGAAAGCTCGTTTTTTGTATGTATACTTGATGAATTTGAACATTGGTTCCTACGCGTCTGTGTACTGTTGGAAAGCTCGTTTTTTGTATGTATACTTGATGAATTTGAACATCGGTTCCTACGCGTCTATGGTTATTGACTTTAGAAACTAGATCGGTTTCTGTGAAATGTGATTTTCGTCGTATTTTCTCAAAATAAGTTGATTGACCTACTTCGTCCTACAAATTTGGCGAGTTGATTGGATGCTATACAATTTTGTGCTTGGTGCGGATGAAGTAGTTTCTGGGAGTATTTTGTGGTAGTTCTTTACATGAATAAGAAAAACGGTATCACGATTGCTCTGTTCCTTTCCGTTTTCCTTTATACTATTGTACTGTTGGAATGTTCGTTTTTTGTATGTATATTTGATGAATCTGAACATCGGTTCCCACAAATCTTAGGCTACTAATGTTAGAAACTAGATTGATTTATGCAAAATGTGATTTTCGTAGTATTTTCTTAAAATAAATTGCGAAACCTACTTGGTGCCACAAATTTGGCGTGTTGATTGGATGTTGTACATGATGGCGCGATAAGTTTGTGCTTGATGCGGATGAAGTAGTTTATGAGAGTATTTTGTAGTAATTTTTTACATGAATGAGAATAATGGAAAGAGTATTGGGATCGCTCTGTTACATATTGTTGTCAAGTTATGTTTTTTCCCGATTACTTTAACTAGGGTTTGACTCCACTAGATACAGGTGCTAATGTTCTTCTATTTAGTCCGTCTATTTATTTTTTCAATCATAGTGAGTGACTGAAGTTGAAAGGATCTAACATGGATAAAAGGTTGGGATCTCAGGGTGGTGTCGTTTGAAGTGAGGACTTTTGGTGTATACAGTTCTAGTTTTATATTTAAATCTTTAGGGTTCCAAAAATCTCTATGCTGTTTAAGTTGAGACCTTAATATACATAGTAGATTAGGTGGATTAGTGGTCTCAACATATAGTACATTACTCTATCTTGTATCACTTCTTTTCAAGTGGAAGTATTGACACCTATCGTCAAAAAGAAATAGATAAATTGAATTAAAACTGTATAAGTTTGATGGGTTGCCTCTTCCTGACTTGATGGATTTTAGAGAGAGAGGAGTCACAAGGAGGAGAAACATCTGTTGAGAGGTGGCAAGAGCTCAGGAGCTCACTACTCACTAGACTGGGATGCAATTTAAGACCGGTAAGCTGATTATTAGTGGACATGATTATTACATAAAAATGGGTCTAGATGCAACAAAGAGTACCTCGAACATGGGTGTGCAAAATTCATGTAAATGTAACATATAGAAAGTCTGATTTTATCATTCTTCTTTCCTGTGTCCTCATTTTGGTGTTCTTTTTTCTCATCTAATTTTCTCCTTTGTTAAAAGGGTGATAGAATGGTTGTTAAAACAATATGTATGATTGTGTCCATGTGCTTGTTTGGTAATGTGGGTCTCATCATGTGATGCAATTTAGTGGTGTTTCTTCTAAGAAAGACATCATGTTTGCTTAGGTCCGATCTATCATTTTGTTTGCTTAAAAGACGGTACATTTTCATGGTTTGAGTTAAAACTCGAAGCTTAATGCATTTGAAATACATGGTGGCAGGCTATTTAATATGGAGCTTACTGCACAACATCGCTTTCACTCAATTAAGCTGTGGCCTCCCAGTCCAAGCACTAGACAAGTTCTTGTGGATCGTATAATCAGAAATCTTACCACTCCATCCATTTTATCCAGAAAGTATGGTCTTTTAACTAAAGAAGAAGCAGAGGAAGATGCTAAGCGAATAGAGTCTGCAGCCTTTGCCACTGCGAACCAACACTTTGAAAAGGAGCCAGATGGTGATGGAAGTTCTGCTGTGCACATTTACGCTAAAGAATCGAGTACACTTATGGTGGAAGCTGTGAAAAGAGTTCCTATCGTAAAGGAGGAAGAAGAAGCCGTACCCATGTCTGAAACAGCTACCATTACAGTTACAGCAGACCATGAAACTCTTTTTGACATCTCTGGAGCCAGTCGAGATTTCCTCAAGGCAGAGGAGGCCGAAGAACTGCTAAAACCACTCCAGGAGCCTGGGAACAAATATAAAAAGATACGTTTTAGCAATAGAAGCTTTGGGTTGGATGCAGCCCGCGTTGCTGTACCCGTATTGGTCTCTCTCAAGGACCAATTAACAGAAGTTGATCTATCAGATTTTGTTGCTGGGAGGCCAGAGGAAGAAGCCCTTGAAGTTATGAGCTTGTTTTCGTCAGCCCTTGAAGGTTCTGATCTCAGGTATCTGAACCTTTCGGATAACGCATTGGGAGAAAAGGGGATTCGGGCGTTTGACAAGCTTTTAAGATCACAAAGTAATCTTGAAGAGTTGTATCTAATCAATAACGGTATCTCGGAAGAAGCTGCAAAGGCTGTGTGTGAACTGATTCCTTCCACAAAGAAACTCAAAATTCTTCATTTCCATAATAACATGACTGGTGACGAAGGGGCGGTTGCCATTTCTGAACTCCTGCAAAGATCTCCAATGCTCGAGGATTTCAGGTGTTCATCCGCCCGGGTCGGCTCAGAAGGGGGCGTTCCTCTAGCTGAGGCACTCGCCACATGTACCCATTTGAAAAAGCTTGATCTTTGTGACAATATGTTCGGAGTCGAAGCTGGGATTGCTTTAAGCAAGTCCATATCCGTGTTCACTAATCTCAACGAGATTTACCTCAGTTACTTGAATTTAGAAGACGAAGGAACTTTAGCTCTTGCTAACGCACTCAAAGAATCTGCTCCATCTCTCCAAGTTATTGATATGGCTGGAAACGAAATTACGTCTGAATCAGCTCCTGCTTTGGCGGCTTGTTTAATGGCTAAAAAAGGATCTTTAACCAAGATAAATCTTTCCGAGAATGAGTTGGCGGACGAGGGTACCATAGTGATCGCTAAGGCTCTTGAAGCGGAGTTTCCACGATTAACCGAAGTTGACCTGAGCACGAATGGCATTAGACGGGCTGGAGCCAGGGTCCTGGCTCAGGCTGTCGTAGGTAAACCGGGGTTTAAGTTGCTGAATATTAATGGTAACTTTTTATCTGATGAAGGTGTGGATGATGTGAAAAATATGTTCAAGAATTCCCCGGGTGTGCTCGGTCCATTGGACGAAAACGACCCCGAAGGACAAACATTCGACGGTTCGGATGAAGAGACTGATGGTGATGATGAATTGGGATCCAAACTGAAGGAGCTTCAAATCAAGCAAGAAGAATAGAGGTCACATTTTAGGTATGACCATCTTCTCTACCTTTGCATTGCTTTGATTCATAACATATTTAGAGAAAATCCATTTGTGGGTTACTCTAAAAGTGCATGATTTGTTTTGTATCTGCACTTGAATTCTTAGGTTTCTTTCTGGTACTTGCATTAGCACTCCATTGCTTTTCTTTAATGTTAGTTTCAAGTTGTTTTAGCCTTAAAAGGGAGTGATTCTTGAAGGTGAATTCGTTTGACACAAAAAGTCTGCTTTTTAATGGTTTTAAAACCCTTTGAATGATTTTGTATCTTGGGCTTTCTTTAACCATTCAGTGTTCTAATTCCATTATAAATAATTACTGAACAATTAAATTTCATTTTATACTATATCACGAGAGCTTCTGAATTATTTTGACAGTACGAAACCATCCAAATGAAATAATATCATTTTATTATTATTAGTTATATCAAAATGTTTACTATTAGAAAAGTGAGTGGGAATCAGCTTTTAATTTTGACCATTGGTTTAAAAATATGTACAATTTTGATGCTTTTATTTTTTATTTTGTTTATTTTAATCATCATTTGACCACTGAATTAAAATATAATTATTTTTAATATTTTATATAATCACCGTTGACTCTTTGTGGGAGTATATTGAACCCAAAAAAATGCCCCACAACTATAATAATAAGAGGGTTTTTTTTTAATAATTAAATGAAAAAACTCATTTGTATTAAATTGTACAAAATTTTAAAAATTATTCTATAAGGGATTTGTTTGATAGTTGTTGGATGGTTTGATATATAATGATTAAGTGATCAGAATGATTAGGAGACTCTTATGATATAGTGTAAAATGAAATATAATTGTTTATAAATGTTCATTCAGAAGGTTTTTACCAAACAAGATTTATTTTTTAACGGTTCAAAGGTTGTCTCTTAATGGAATTATTAAGAGGTAAACAAATAACATCTTAAGTAAAAGTAATACCACCATTGTTCTTATAATTATTTCAGATTATAATAATACTATTTTCTTAATTAACATACTAAGGAAAATAAAAATAACTAAAATAAATATATTATTAAAAACAAAATAATGAAAATACCATAAAATTGCTTTGATCTTTATGGATGTCTGCGTATAATGTTTATTCTTAATTTTTAAATAAAATTCATCGTCTTTATTTTTAAGATGTTATTCTTTTGGAAGATGATTCCAACCATTTTTAAAATGACAGAACTACCCTTTGTCTCGAAGAAAAGTATCCATAAGCATTAAATTTATTCAAAAAGCATTATCTCTACCTTAAAATGATGTAATAAATATAAACAATAACATATTTTTATTTTCATTTTCATTTAATTTATTAAGGAAGTGTTTGATTTGAGTTATTAAGCAGTAATCAATAAGAATAAAATAAAAGAAATGACTTGGTTTTTTATAATATAATGAGTTCATTTTCTCCAGAAGTCATTCTTGGTTAAACTGGGGGAATAAAATTCATTTAATGTCATTTTCATTCATAATTTCATTTCTTAACATGAGTCAATCAGATCCTAAATTTTATAAACCGATCACATTCAAAAAACCGTTACACAAACTATCTTAAGATTGAATTCAACATGTGAATATGACTTACAAAACAATTTGTGTTTAAATGTAAGCCTCATATTGATTTTTTGACAAAAATTATTTGGTTTCTTTCTACGTAAACTTGTCTAATGATATTGCTTTGGAGGGCCCCAATGTTCCCAATCATTAATATTCGAATATTCGTATTTAATATCAGATCAAATATCCAATAATTACGAGAACAATTTCTTCTATTATATACAAACATTGTTCGATAAAAAACAAAAAAATTATTTGAGATAGCTATGAAGTGGATACCAAATTTGAACTATCCATCTTGATTGCCGACCATTTCTACCTTTCTTGTACTACCAAGACAAAGATTCAATGTCTGCCGACGTTAGATTATGTTGCATTAAAAACCAACCTTTTGAACTGTAAAACACTGAATTATTCTTCTTTAAACATGATATGACCTTGCAGCCATCGAACCCAGTATTAATTTTGTTTTATAATCACACACACAGTATCAATTCCTTAATAATTAAACCATCTTTCTTTAAGTTAGGTTTTCACTATCAAGACATTGAGTCTAATATAAAAACACAAAGATAGAAAAGGGGTCTTAAAAAAGGCACAATTTTAAGAGGAGGATGCAAAGTGATGACCTAAAAATATCACCAAAGGGGGAATCCTCTCTAAGTCTAATGTTGGCTCACTTTTGCATTCTAAGAAGGGGTGTGCCCAAAAAAGATTGTGTTTTTATTGGTCATCTCAAAAATCATTGTGACTACTTTTCTTTGTAGCCAATCAAAATAAAGCTTCCCATTTGCATTTTGGGTTTTTATTTTTATACAAGTATAATATAAAAAAGAAATACAGATATAGCATAGAAAATACTGATTCAGAAGTAACAGTAGTTATATAAACCAGAGGAAATCTTTGGGGTTGTTTACCTGAATGTTTACCTAGTAAGCACTTATGGTTAGGAGTCAATACTGTAATTTTTATTTTACTGGATAAGATTGTAGTACATTGAAATAATATCGTATGCAACAACTTAACCGGTAAGTACTTATACGGGTAAGAGTTGTCACCCTTACTTACTGAGTAAAACTCTTCATCTTTATCATTGCTCTTACTGGGTAATATTTTTGACTCTTATCATGTTTATCCGATAAGAAAAATTACTCAGTCAGCACTTACCGGGTAAATGTTTAGTAAACAATCCCTTAGTTACCCTTTGTTTGTATGTATTTCTTTGTCCTTTTGGTTTTTATGATTTTATCTATTTTGGCAACTAAATGGATTGTAAACAAACATATCATGTATCTATACTATATTATAAAGCATTTGTCAAAAATTCTCAAAAGCCATTTTTTATGCATGAAATACTGTTTATTGATGCATATTACTTAAAATTCAAGATTACAAGTAATTTTGCGTATGTACAATTTATTAAGCTCTATTTTTAAATATGTGTAACTAATTGCAGATAAACATGATCAAGTACAAGATACACATCCATTTTAAATATAGAAAATCTAAAATATAATTAAGATAATCATTGAGTTTTAACATAATGTTTAATTATTATTTTTATAAAAAAAATTATATTATTAAACAAAAAATAAATTACCTTGTTATTAAATCTAAATTAAATAATAAAAAAAATGAATTAAACAAGTTACACAAAAAAAACGAGAATTATTAAATAATTAATTTGATACTAATATTGATTTTATTTTATTTTCAAATCTATGATTCATTAAGAAATAAAAACATTATCGCTTTTTCAAAACCACATAAAATCGTATTATATCGATAAAGATAAATAATAAAAACTAAACATAAAAATAAAGATTTATTTTGTTACATTATACGATTACTCTTTTAATTAATTATTAAAGCGTATGCATGCAATCTTAACACGGTGAGAAAATATGTATTTATGAAAATGTACATGTCATGCTCCACAAATAAAATGATGTCTTAGAAAAGAGATGATATAATGTTTTTAAAACGTAATTTATTGGTCAAGGGTTCAGATCTCTTCTTAGACGAAATATCGTGGAGAAGCATTTATTCTAATAATATATAATGTTTTTTTTTTTCCTTCTTCATGTGTTTCTACATGAAAAAGATGAATCAATTGCAGTGGCATTTCTTTGAAAAAAAGGAGTGTTTGTCATGTGCTGCTTACTAATCAGTAATCATCCTCTATAAATACACCCATCAACCCCTTCCCTTCTCTGCTCATACTTTCCCACTTCTTTCCAATCCACCAAATACAACTTCTGGGTTTTCCTCATCAAGATTCAATCTTTCCATCACCCACAACTTTCTTTAACATTTTCTTGAAAAACAACTCAATTTCCTCCCTAAAGAAACTTGGCTTTTCTTCAATTCCTCATAAAGATTCGATCTTTCCATCACCCACAACTTTTCTTGAATAACCCAAATCCACTCTGTTTTCTTGATATGGCCTTAGTTCAAGGTTTGCAATCATGCCTCGAGCCTCCTCGGCGACCCGACTCCAGTCTCTTAACCCACAAATCGTCTCCTCGTCCGCCCCAATTACGTCAAACACCAAAACCCGAACCGAATTCCGTGATTGGTAACAAGAACAATGGGTGGAGTTTCAGTGATATTCTTGAAAACCCATCTTCGAATCATGTTAAGACCGAAGAAGTTTACGTTCATCCGATGGTGAAGCGATCGGCTTCCGCATTGAGCACCAAAAGCTTGGAAATGTGTACGGAAAGTTTGGGGACTGAAACAGGGAGTGATGTGAGTGAGAGCAGTGATGAGTTTAGTTGGGAGGAGAGAGAGAGGTTTGGCGGTTTACGGCGGTCGAAAGCTCGGATTTTTGGCCGGAAAGTGGAGAGCCACCGTCGAGGTGGCGGCTTCCCGCCGCCATTGACCTCCATCAGTGGCTCAGATGGCACCGTGAAAGTGAGGCCTCACAGGGAAGGTGGGAGGTTGGTTATCAAGGCTGTGAGTGTTTCCGATTGTGGTACCAAGTTTGAAGCTGAACGTACAAATGGAAGACTTAGGCTTTCATTGTTGAAGGACTGTTGTGTAATTGTCGAAAGTGGAAGGGCTGAAATGAAAAATGAAAACGGTGAAGAAGAGGTTTGTGGTGGTGGTGGTGATGTGGAGGAGAGCGGTGGTGGTTGGTGGTGGGAGACGGACGGAAGTAAAACGAACGGCGGTGTTAGAACCGCAATCCGGGCATCAAATAGACCGTCTAAGTTACCGAGCTCGTTTGAAGACTCGAATGAGTTTGGGTTAACCAGGTGCAAAGACAGTGGGAATGGGAATAAAGGGATCGGAAACTGGAGTTTGCTTCGGGTGGTTATTTCTTGAAAAGAAAAACAAGCGTTGACGGTTGTTCTTACAAAATTTCAGTGACGATTACTAGCAAATAATAACGTTGATTTATAAGACCGTAACTGTTGTTACTGAAATGCTATTTATCAATCCATCATTTCTTAAGTTTACAATCGTATCGAGTCAGGTTGGATCGTGTCGAGCCGAATTTTCCCGAGTTGGTAAAATAATATCCACGTGTAATACGCAGGTTTAAGTTTATTTTATCATATATATTTATTTTAATAGAAATTGTAATAGTTATAATTAATTGAAATTATTTATTTTGTGATATTTAATATTGATGGTTGTTTTTTTTAAATATTTATTATTTAATTCATGTTAAAATCATGAAAAATGCAAATCGTGTTTATTATTTTAACGTGGAATATTTATATTTTTAATAAATATAATAATTAGAGAAAAGAAAAAACAAGAATGGGAATGGAAGGGTTAATATGGGAAATATGAAAACATTTAGTATGAGGAGAATGTGGTAAAATGTCAGAAATAGGTCCACTTTCAACTTTTAGTTTATAATAAATTATGTAAATTCAATCTCTACGAAAATCATTCCAATTTATAAAAATCGTAAAAACTATTTTCATTCATCGTTAATCTTATGAAATTTTTTTATGAAATTGTTAATCTTGTGAAATTGTTTCATATAATACTTTTTTTGATGAAGTTGTTTTATATGTGGTTATAAAATTGTTTCATATACTACTTAATGAAATTTTAATGAAATTGTTTCATGTATTTCTCTAAACTTAAATTAATGCAGATGATAATATCCATGATTAACACCCTCCACAATAAAAATGGTTAATCAACCTCTCATAATTACAAAAAAATGAATAAAATAAAAAATTATGATTGGTTGAATAAGGTTTTCACGGTTTTTACAAATTGAGTGGTTTTTATTTGAACCCACCCTATATATATATATATATATATATATATATGATTTTATAAAAGTTTAGATTGTTTTCTAATATAAAGTATCGATCATAATTAATAAATCTTAGTCATCTTCCATAAATATTCAAATCATAATAAATGAATTCTCATCATTTCTATAAATATCTCAATTGATTGAGTTGCATTGGTTGTACAAATGTGATGAGTTGCATTTTAAACGTCCTATATAT